CAAAATTAAGAATTTCTACCCACTTTCCCACCCAACACGGTCTTTACGTACTTATTGTATGACCCATTGATATGAATACAGTATATTCGACGGCAACAAACCGGTGCTTACGGTGGCCGACCCGGCGCTCGTCAAACAGATTCTGGTCAAAGATTTCGACGTATTTGCCGATCGGTACCAAACACCGGGTCCGCACCCGATCACAGGCGACGAACACTTGGGCGAAGCGCACGGCGCCGACTGGCGGCGAATGCACGCCGTGTGGTCGGCCATGTTTACGGGCGCCAAACTCCGGCACCTGTACCCCACTCTGACCGACTGCGTTCACGAACTCGTGCGCACGCTTGACGCTACCGGTGACGCCCCAATCGACCTAGTACCGATATTTGAAAAATTTGCCATGGACGCTTTGGTGAGTACCGGGTTCAGTGTGAAATGTGGCGCCCAATGTGACCCCGGTGCCAGCAACGCGTTTATGCGTAACTACAGCATGGCGTTCAACACGGACTACGTGCGCGGCCGTACATTACAGGCCGTATGGAAATGGATGCTCGAGATGGTCGGCGTCGTCCACGTGAAAACCCAGCCGTTTAACGTGTTTTACATGGACTTCGTTCGCCGAGTACTGGCAGATAGGGAACGCCATTCGAGTGGGCGTTACAGCGATTTTATTCAAAGTTTTATAAAGTCCGAGAGAGACACGAGTTTGGGAACCATGGCATCGGACGCCACCAATGGACTAGTCGTTGCTAATGATAAAGGCCTGCGATTTATATTATAAACTATTATCATGTTATAAATAGGAATGAAGAATTATTGGCTTTATAATGTGTATTTATATGTATTTACGTGCACGTACTGATTGAAAAAAAAATTGTATTAATAGTTTACAAGTAATCTATTAGTAATAATTTTTGTTTGTAAAAATCTCATCAAGTGAATTTAATTAATTTTATTTTATAAAAATATTCATTAATATGATACAAAATGAACGCAAGCTTAGTAAATAATATAACACATATTGTAGTTTTTAGATAAAATATTTAAGTTTATTATTCAGAGATTGTTATGCCTTACGGAAAGCCTATCAAGTTATATATCAGGTATGAGTTTATGAAATTAAAATGAATTTTCAATGCTTTAATAAATTTTGTGATAAGTTATTATTTGTGAAAATTACTAATAATTTATAATATTTGAAGGGTCATTCATTTAATGCATACCCACTTTTTTTCATTCCTAGTTATAAACTATTAGTTTTAAAGTTTTTTAAAGTATAATTAGATTCAACATTCATTATTTTATTTATTATGACCGCTATTTTGCTATTAAACGACAGTTACCAAGAGTGGATTGCCTACGCGATCAACCGGTAAGTATTTGACTAAAGGTGAGGTGGCGTCCAATGGGTGGCTATTATTCATATCGGGCACCGAAACCATTACCACAACCCTGTCGTTCGTGGCGTACGAGTTGGCCCGCAATCCGGACGTTCAGCGGCGGCTACGCGACGAGATCGTCGCCGCGTCGGTCGACACCAATGGGAGCGTCGGTTACGAGGCGTTGACACGACTGCCATATTTGGACGCCGTTTTGTCGGAGACCCTCCGACTGCACGCGCCTTTTCATCGCGTAATCCGTACGGCCACCCGGGACTACACACTGCCCGGCGCCGGGATTGGCATCAAAATGGGTCAGAAGGTGGAGGTGCCCGTGTACGCCATACACCACCATGAAGGATACTACACGAACACGGAACACTTTTATCCCGATCGTTTTCTGACCGATCGTAAGCCGACCATGTATATGCCATTCGGTATAGGGCCGCGAAATTGCGTAGCCGGTAGATTCGCCATGCTCGAATTAAAAATAGCCGTGACACACATCATTAAGCGTTTTACGCTTGAGGTGGTTGGCAAACCGGACGCACCGGTGCCGTTGATGAATCGTCAAGAAGTCCATAAGCCGTCGAGTATTGTGTTACGTGTTATGAAAGTTATACAAACTAATTAAACATGGCACATTGATACTATTGCTATTTCTTTATATTGTCATATAATCCATATTAAATTGTAGACAATTTCAAACAAATGTAGCAACAACAAACAATTAATCTAGAATATTTATTAACTAGCAACCAATTACTGTATTTGCTGATATTAAAATTATTATAAATGAAATAAAATAATTTAACGTTTACATATTATTGTTCAGATACTATTAATTTTAAAGCAATTCAATAGTTTATATCTCAGTTTTCTGGTGCTCAAAATGAATCAACACACTATCACCTAGCTCATCATCTAGCCAGTTAACCCAAGTATTATTATGATGGATAGGGTTAGCCCTATCATCCAACGGAACCAGGGATAGGGGCGGTACTGACGTACTGTTAAAGTCAACCAACTTTTGCCACAAGAATCTCACGAATTGAGGATCCATTTCCCCCATCAAGTTATGGTATTCGCAGGGATCGTATCGGAGGTTATATAGACATAGCTCACCGGTTGGGCATTCATTTATATAGCTGTCATCCGTCAGCCATTTATGACACGTAACCCCAGTATCTCTTAGTTTGTCATAATTTGGGTGTTTCTTCATTTGTCTAAATACCTAGTTAATTAAAAAAAGGTAATATTATTTATAAAATTAATATAATTATGCTTTACATTTTTTTACGTTAAACGTTGCAAAAGCATTTTGGTTAGAATAGCCTTATTAGTTAAGAATTATATGAAAAATGTATAAATTGCCACATGTTATTTTATCTATTTCATTTAATATAAAAGTTCCTACTTAATTTATTCAGTATACAAAAATAATTTTAAGCGACTCGGTATTTTAATATTTTAGAATACCTTGTATATTGTAGAATTCTCGCGGTATGTTTTTATTAAAAATTTGAACATGATCATTTTATCTGTTACGTTTATAGGTTGTGTTTGGCGATCATAATTAAGATCGCTGTCGTAGTTATCGCCCACCCATTTGGCACTCCTAACCAGTTTCCAGTCGTGCCATCTAATGGCCGACATATTCCATACAGGATCGATGTTATGGGTAATCTGTCGGCGCACCTGACCCTCACCAGTCGACAACGAGTGCCAGTGGGACACACCTTATTCAATACCATGATTAATTATCATAAGATATTATATTTAAATATATGCAATATTTAGTATATATACCATATATATTTGATTGACCATTAAGTCCGTTACTATCGCCTATGGCCTCCAGAACTGTAGGCAATATGTCGGACACATCGATGAGATTGTCGTAAATGTAACCACTTTTGCGAAGTAATGGACTCCATATGATTGCCGGAACTCGTATGGCTAATAAATAATCAATTATTTAATACTACTAGGTTAGGTTAGGTTAGGTTAGGTTTAGTTAAGTTAGGTTAGGTTCGGCAATTGTGGCATAACTTACATCCCTCAAATAATTCCGTCTTATCACCTTTTAGTGGCCAATTTGAGCTGCCACCTAGTGTCAAATAAACATATACAGATTTATAACATCATGGCCATTTATTTACCTTTACGAAAACCACCATTGTCGCTCATAAATACTACGATACAATTCTCAAGCATACCCTTCGAGTGCAACCTATCAACTATACGTCCGATAGACTCGTCGAGCGAGTAGATCATTGCGGCCATAGTTCTCCGGGCGTCCGACATATTGTCATACATGTCAAACATGTCGATCAGGTGTTGGGGCGCCGACGCGGAGGCCTTTTGGAACACATGTACGGCCTGGTAGGGAACGTATAGAAAAAGTGGCTGATAGGTGGCGTTGTGTTTATCTATATATTAGGTCGTATAGAAAGGTTGTTTCTGGCTATAATTTAAATTTCTCTGGAATGGCTTAATATTTTCAAAAGCGGTTTGTTTTATTGAATAGCTTAATAATGTGATGATTTTGGACACAAAAAA